GCACGCTACTCCACCACCGCACGCAGAGCCGTCATCGCCACCCACTCTGGTGGAGAAGCGGCCTCGCCGGTGTTCGTTGGAGAAGGGATAGGAGCACAGGCCGTCGGGTGGAACTGCGGCGCCAGCGTTGGAGAAGGGAAGGGATGGGAAGGGTTGGCGTCGGACTACTTGGAGTCACGCTTGGAGGGAAGCACAGGACAACGCCCTTAGGCCTCGTTCGGTTGGGTGGGGATAAATTCCAGTCTCTGGCTTCCTTCTATAATTTACGAAGCATGGGAAACGTTCCGGCCCGGAACGGCCGGGAACGGTGCTAACCGAACGGGGCCTTAGTGGAGTCGAATCAGAGCACGGGAGCGGAAGTCTGCAGAGAATGTATATATATATATCGGGCCGGGCCGAGCCGAACGCCATGCCTAGATAGGAGCCCAGGCACGGCCCTAGAGCCAGGCTGGGCCAAAACACTGGGCCATGGGCCTTATGGCCATCTTATACGCGTGCCATGCCCGTGCGCCTGCTAGCGGCGAGGGGGGCACGCCTGGCTCCTCGGCCAATCGCTGGTCGACAACGACAAGGGAGGAGCGTTGAATTTGTTGTCCTGCAAGGGCGTTCGGCTATCTCGAAAACAGAAAGAGGCTACGGAGAGCTCATCAACCCAAGGCTCCAGGACAAAAGGACATGTAAACTTCAGAACCAACGCTATTGGTGACTTAGTGTTGGCTAGCTATCCAACAATTGACACTCGTGGATTAGTGTCTGCGTAGCAGATAGCGGACTGCTATAGGAGATGCTAAGGGCGTCCCCAACAGTTGCTAAATCGAGGATTCTTATTGGACAGCAGGAGAAAAGAGCAGCGCGCTAAGCTCGGGATGCCGGCGATTTCATTCATCCCGTTGGGGACAGCCTAAGTTTCAATAGCGTAATATTAAAAATAGTCAACTTTTTAGAGCATATGCGAATATTAATAACATGTTTACTTATAGAATTAAGAAAATTTAGTTAATTATTACATTTATTGATATAGGATCACATAGTAGCATATAACTGAATAAGATATAAAGAAGACACATGGAGACAAATAAGATATAAAGAAGACATAAGGAGACAGGAGTACTGTTTGGCCAATCGTTGCTCGACAAAGAAAAGAAGCTACAGAGCTCATCAATCCTAGCTAGGCTGCAGGACAATGAAAAGGAGACACTGTTTGTGTTGGCGAGCGATCCAACGCTCCAGGACTCGTTAACCACACCACCGCCACGAGATCATTTGACTAAACGGCTTCATCATGCAATGGTCCCCTGCCTAGAGTAGTATAAATAGTACCTCACAGAGATGGTATTCAGACAACTGATTCGATATTGCTACCGAACCAAGTTAGGGCGTGAATATAATCCCAAGCTCGTCCTCATAGAAATGAATACAGATTTTCATATGGCTGAAGGGGAAGGGGAATGGAGCTACTCCAACAATTCTAGGCGTCAAGTGATTATTCTATCCCTTTTTCTAGGACACAACTATGTTTTATGTAACATGCATTTCTCATGTTTTGCATGCACCAAGTTTGTAAGCAATTGATATGTTGGTAATGTTAGTGTTAATAACCATTGCAACCATAGTTTATTGTCTTCTACGGATTTGAAACGTATATAAAATTAGTCTTTTCTTAAAGCATATAGAACATTAGTTAAGTCCATGTTTTGTTGTGATTGCTGCTATGCCTTTGATAATGTCAAATCATATTAATCTGGTGTGATTCTTGATGCCAGTTAAGTACCATCCATTGACCTTATCTAATAACTTACTGCAAATATCAATTTGGTTTCATTGTTCTTCCCGATGGAAGGATGGGAGACCCATATATCACCGGGATTTTTTATATACTTAATCTTTTTTATTAAATATTTTAATAATAACCGCGTCAAAAAAATCTATAGATCTAACCTTTTTGGTCGCGCCGGTCCGGCTGACGTGACCAAATAACGCTGTCGCGCCACATGCGTCACATGTGGCGCCACAGCGTTATTTGGTCACGCCAGCCGGACTGGGGCGACCAAAAGGGTTAGACCCGCAAAAAAAATAAACGTGGTTATTATTAAGATATTTAATAAAAATAATTAAAAATTTAAAAAAACCTATATCACCTAATGATTTCTTCTTCTTTGCGGATTTTATTAGGAAATATTTTTTCGTGAGACCAGGCCGGTGATTGAGAATGCCATAAAAGAAGTGTACACAACTCTTCACTCCAAAACAATGATCATTGGCGACCTAGGATGCGCTGCATGACCAAACACATTGCTCTTCATCTCTAGTGTTATAAGCACCATTGTTGAGCTGTGTAAATCTAGTGGAGATGATTACGTGGAACTTCAATTCTTCTTGAATGACCTTCCCGGCAACGACTTTAATGAATTATTTCGGTCAATTGAGAAGTTCAAAATGCCAAATATAACAGGTGAAAGGGCGCATCTACCGTCTCTGTACTATATTCAAGGGTTACAAGAATCCTATTACAACAGGCTTTTTCCCGTGAAAGTGTCCACCTATTCCACTCTTCATACGGCCTTCATTGGCGCTCCCAGGTATTTGAATCACTGATTAAATTGGTTATTTATCAATGTTAAGAAAGGGTTTTGCTACAGTATGGTAAGAGCTCCAAATCACAACCCTTGATTTTTTGGTAGACGTAATAATTATGTAATTAAAATAATTAGCATACAAGAAAAAAAGGAAACTATCTAACTTAAGCCAACGATTTACTTCCTTACCTATCTGGCTATCTCTCTTGCATGGAAGGCAAGCAGAAACACCGGACGTACCTACTGTACCCGATAAACTTTGGTTTTGTTATAGGCTGAGATTTATAGATTTATTATACCTGGCATCATAGGTTGTACAGATTTAAAACTGAAATTCTTCCTATAATTCTATATTTGAGTTTAAGCTATTTAGACCTAAATCCTCCTCCCCCAAAAAAACAGGAAAATCATATCTATGCATGGTTCAAAAATTAGTATTTTGTCATATGTGATCAAGTGAAATCCAAGTTTCCTTAATAAATGGCAATCTCAAAATTAAGTTTTATTTTGAAAATAAATTTAAACATTGGAAACAAGCCCAAATTTTATGACAAATGTCTATTAATTCCAAAATAGAGTCTAATTTTGAACATGTGTTTTGTTAAGAAAAATCGAGTTTTACTCGAGCATGTATGCTAAAAAATTATATGACAAAATACTTCCCGAACCATGAATTTGGATGGTTTTTTGGACTTATGAGAAACATTTTTTAGGCCAAACAAGTCAACCAAAAAATGAAAACAGCTATAGAATGATTTATGAAAATTCTTAATTTTCTTTTATTAAGATAAAATTATATTACAAGTGCACGACTTTAGCAGAAGTCTTTTTTCTCCAGAAGAATTATGTTTTAAAGTAGCTCAATCATGGGAAGACGTTGTATATTTTGTTTATTCGGGCGCATACAAGGTATACTTTTGTAATTACCATGCAAAATTAATTGAATTCGAAAATAAAGTCATGTTCAATCCACTAAATAATTACATGTTCAAACAATCACGTATGAGACCTTACATCTATTAATAGATCTAATTATGTATTTGGTCGATCGTTTTCTATCACATATGCCTACTTCCATATATATATATATATATATATATATATATATATATATATATATATATATATATATATATATATATATATATATATATATATATATATATATATTATATATATATATATATATAATATAGAATATCTTATAGAATATGGCCACTTTGGCCACTTTGAGTTACGATAATTACCATGCTAATTTCTACGAGATTACAGTAACTCCTTACTAAGTGATTTACTATAACATTATCGTAAATATCACCGTGAGTTGTAGTAACACGAGTATCGTAAATGCATATTCATGTTATCGTAAATTGGTACAAATATTATCGTAAATCAAGGTATATATATATATATAGAATATATATATATATATATATATATATATAGAATATATATATATATATATATATATATATATATATATATATATATATCGGGTGCATTTTTCCTACTCCCGGGAGAAGTTACTCCCATCTTCAATAAATCACATTGTGTATGTGTGCATACTCATTTGTCAGTGTGAGTATGTTTATATACTTATTTCAAGATACTCCAAATCTTACTACGTGAATTTTTTCTAATAGAGCCCATATTTTTTAATATATTATTATAGTACTATTACAGTAGTATATAAAAGGGGTATAACCACATACTTTATGTATACTTACATGCTTTACAAACATACTACCCTATATGGTCTAGTATGATCATATACTCCATCTAAGTACCCTTCGTTGGGCCTTATACATCCTAAATTTAGAGATATACACATGTAAGCAACTATTCCCTAGGATTAGGAAATAATTTATATATTTATTTTATTACCTCCAAGGAGGTAATATGTAGTAACCAACATTTAAATCAACGGTTCAAAGTTACTTGGGAATATTGTAGCAACCCCCTTAGTTATTTACATATCTTCCATGATGTATCCATCTTTTTGCTGTTCTCTTAACATGTCTATCATAATGTTATGAAATGATATCTATGTAGGAACCTGAGGGACTAGAGGCGTGGAGAAAAACTTATCTAAATGAAGACAACATTTTACATTACAAAGACCACGACACCTTTTGTGGTGAAACAATTCCAAAAGCAGTTCCATAAGGACTTCTCCCTCTTCTTGAAGCTGCGCCATGAAGAACTTGTGCATGGAGGGCAAATGGTCCTTATATTTCTTGGGAGGAAGAATGAGGATGTATACAATGGTGATCTCAATCAATTTTTAGGATTGGTTGCAAGATCGTTACAGTCTCTTGTTTTGAAGGTAATTGTATATTGTAAATTATTGCATTGTTGTAATTTTTTACTTATTTTCACTTTGTGGAGGAAGTCATGAAGTTAAAAGAATTTTGATCATAACAGGGCCTTGTGGACAAGGAAAAGCTACAATCTTTCAATCTACCAGTCTACGGGCCGTCAGTTGGAGAAGTGAAAGAACTTGTCATGCAAAGCCATTTATTCAACATGGATCTAATCAAACAATTTGAGATGAACTGGGATCCTTTCGATGATTCAGAAAGTGATGACGTTGAGGATACTGCCCGCAGTAGCATGAATATTGCTAAGTTCACGAGACCGGCACTAAAGTCTTTAATTGTTCGCCATTTCGGAGAAACCATAATTGACGCATGGTTTACTGAGTTCATGAGCCTTGTTGCTGAGCACCTTGAAAAGGAGAAGACCAAGTTCACCACCATCGTCATGTCATTGAAGAAAGAATAATATAGACACTACGCCATATTTTTACTGTAGGAACAGGGACATTTTTACTGTAGGGGCGGCTGGGGTGGGGGCACCCTACAGTGGGCGTCCTTGGGCCCCAGCAACCCAGCCGCCCCTACAGATGGCACTGTAGGCGCGGCTGGTAACTTGAGCCGCCCCTACAGTTGGGGCTGATCTGTAGGGGCGGCTCAATCACCAGCCGCCCCTGCAGTGCCCATTTGTCATTTTTCAAAATTTAAAATTTGATAGGTCCAAATTTTATCAAATGACAAGATGACTAAAATAAAAGTTGTATATATTAATGAGTTGAACAACTTTGGTATTCATCACTTTTTATGTTGAAATCATTTTGAGTCTCAAATTTTGGTTCGAACTTGTTAGTTTTAAAATTTCAAATTTAAAAGGTTCAAATTTAGTCAAATGACAAGATAACCAAAATAAAAGTTGTAGATCTTGTTGAGTTGAACAACTTTTATAATCATCACTTTTACATCTAAAATCATTTAGGGTTTGAAAATTTGGTTTGAACTTGTCAAATTTTAAATTTCAAATTTTAAAATGTGTAAAACATTGTCACATCCAAGTTTAATCAAACTTAAATGTTGAAGCATGATTTTAGAAATTTTTAGGAAAAAACCATCACGTTTGGAGTTAGCATGAGGGAGAACAACTAGTTACAAAGTTTACCCACAGATTAAAAAGAGAAATCACACTGTTCTAGATGATCCTTACATGATCATAGTGAATAGTGTGATTTCTTTTTTTAATCTGTGGGTCAACTTTGTAACTAGTTTTTCTTCCTCATACTAACTCTAAATCTGATGATTTTTTTCCTAAAATTTTCTAAAATCATGCTCTATCAATTTATTTTGTTGGTTTTGTCAATATATACATATGAAAAGTTTGAGCAATTTAAATTTTGAATTTCAAAAAAATACAACTTCAGACAAGATTTTGGTACCCCAAATGATTTCAGCTGAAAAAGTGATAAATACCAAAGTTGAATAACTTATCAAGATCTACAACTTTTGTATTGGTCATTTCTTCATATGACAAAGTGGTAATGACATTGTTCACAAATGTGACACATCTCATAAGGTTTTATAAACAATATGAGACGTGTGTAAAATTAGTGAACAATGTGTGCTAAGAATTTGTCAAATAAAGAAATGACCAAAATAAAAGTTGCAGATATTCATGAGTTGAACAACTTTGGTATTCATCACTTTTTATGTTGAAATCAATTTGGGTCTCAAATTTTGGTTCGGACTTGTCGTTTTTCAAAATTTAAAATTTGAAAGGTCTAAATTTTGTCAAATGACAAGATGACTAAAATAAAAGTTGTAGACATTAATGAGTTGAATAACTTTGGTATTCATCACTTTTTATGTTGAAATCATTTTGGGTCTCAAATTTTAGTTCGAACTTGTCATTTTTTAAAATTTCAAATTTGAAAGGTTCAAATTTTGTCAAATGATAAGATGATCAAAATAAAAGTTGTAGATCTTGATGAGTTGAATAACTTTTGTATTCATCACTTTTACATCTGAAATCATTTAGGGTTTGAAAATTTGGTTTGAACTTGTCAAATTTTAAATTCAAATTTTAAAATATGTAAAACATTGTCACATCCAAGTTTGATCAAACTTAAATGCTGAAGCATGATTTTAGAAATTTTTAGGAAAAAAAACCATCACATTTGGAGTTAGCATGAGGGAGAACAACTAGTTACAAAGTTTACCCACAGATTAAAAAGAGAAATCACACTGTTCTAGATGATCCTTACATGATCATAGTGAACAGTGTGATTTCTTTTTTTAATCTGTGGGTCAACTTTGTAACTAATTTTTCTTCCTCATACTAACTCCAAATCTGATGATTTTTTTCCTAAAATTTTCTAAAATCATTCTCTATCAATTTATTTTGTTGGTTTTGTCAATATATACATATAAAAAGTTTGAGCAATTTAAATTTTGAATTTCAAAAAAATACAACTTCAAACAAGATTTTGGTACCCCAAATGATTTCAGCTAAAAAATGATAAATACCAAAGTTGAATAACTTATCAAGATCTACAACTTTTGTATTGGTCATTTCTTCATATGACAAAGTGGTGATGACATTGTTCACAAATGTGACACATATCTCATAAGGTTTTATAAACTATATGAGACATGTGTAAGATTAGTGAACAATGTGTGCTAAGAATTTATCAAATGAAGAAATGACCAAAATAAAAGGTGCATATATTCATGAGTTGAACAACTTTTGTATTCATCACTTTTTATGTTGAAATCAATTTGGGTGTCAAATTTTGGTTCAAACTTGTCGTTTTTCAAAATTTTAAATTTGAAAGGTTCAAATTTTATCAAATGACAAGATGACTAAAATAAAAGTTGTAGATATTAATGAGTTAAACAACTTTGGTATTCATCACTTTTTATGTTGAAATCATTTTGGGTCTCAAATTTTGGTTCGAACTTGTCATTTTTTAAAATTTCAAATTTAAAAGGTTCAAATTTTGTCAAATGACAAGATGACCAAAATAAAAGTTGTAGATCTTCATGACCTATACAACTTTGATGTTTATCAAATTTTCATTTGAGTTCATTTGGTGTCTCAAAATTATTTTAGTAGTTTGATTTGATTTCATACAATGATCCACATCTAGCGCAAGGCTCATCATCTGGGCCGTCCACCTCGCGATCGAACGACGGGGACGGAGTCTGAATCACATGGGATCTCCCCAACGAGGAGGGGGCTGCCTGGAAGGCGGTCAGCCACGGCGGTATACAATAGAACCCCCATCCCAGCCCTCTCCTTACGCCCACGCGCTCGCCTCTCTCCTCCTTCCCCCGTTCCGCCTCTCGCGCTTGCCTCTCGAGGACCCTCGCCATCCTCCCCAAGCGCATCACCAAACCCCCCCAGGGCGCTAAGGTTTGCTTCTCCGCGGCGTCGGCACACGCAACCTCCGCCACGGTGATGGCGGGCAGGAGCGTGGGACAATCGATCTGGAGGAGGGATGGGCGGTCATGCGAAGGGCATCACCAAGTCAAGAACATCCTCGAGGGCAAGCCCGAGCCGTAGTTCAGCTCCGAGGACTACATGATGCTTTACACGCACGTCTCCTCTCCCTCCTCCTCCTCCTCCTCCTCCGCCTGCCTTGCGTTGCCTTCATGGGCGGCGGCCGCTAGGGTTTCCTAACTCGATCCGCTTCGATCCGGTTTTGATCTAGGGTTTTGGTTCCCTTGTCGCAGGACGATATACAACATGTGCACGCAGAAGCCGCCACACGACTACTCGCAGCATCTTTACGACAAGTATCGGGAGTCGTTCGAGGAGTACATCACCTCCATGGTGAGCCGCCTATTCATATCCCTCTTGCTCATGTGAATGCCTGTCTTCGACCTAGATTGTTTTGTATCTACGGCGTGGTATTAGGGTTAGATTTCCTACCCTGAGGGAAATAAGGCAGTTTGGATGGTTTTTTTAGCTTTGGTGGATTAGCGCTTGGTTGGTTGATAGGTTGGGACGAGAACGACCTTGGTGTATATGGGGATGTTCTCGTTTCCTTTTGGTTTTCTTCTAAATAATACAATGCTTGCCGATGACTAGTCAGGTTCGTTCACTCTGTAGATGGACATTCTTTTCAGGGAAAAAATGAGAGTTGTTTGTCATAGATGGTCGAACCCTTATACTATATAGAATTGGCCTGATCTGTTTGATTGTACTTTGTAAATGAACTAACCAAAACTTTTTTATGCTGCAAATATTGCAGTGGTAGCGCTCTCTTCCCCTTCTTTTGTCCATCTCTTGATTTGTACAGGATAATAAAATCTCTTTAAAATGATTGTAATCATCTTGATTAGGTGAAACAATTGGTCCAGCTACTTTATGTGCCTTTGTAACAATTCTGTGCCCATTTACTTGTACACTTGGGCCTAGTGTTCTGTTGGCTCCAGTAGATTCATTAGATGTCTTGTGATATCACTGTGGCTGTTTCCATTTGCTTTTTGTTGGAACTTGTAGTTTCTATTTGATTGTAATTTCACTCAAGGGTAGACAGCAAACCAGGAGTGTTTCATTCATTCTGTATTTTGACTTTTTTAGGGGGGAAATGAGAGTTGTTTGTCATAGATGGTCAACCATTATAATAATATATATAGAATTGTGCTGATCTATTTGATTGTAATTTGTAAATGGAGTAATCAAAACTTTCTTTATGCTGCAAATATTGCAGTGGTAGCTTTCTTTTCCCCTTTGGTCCATATCTTTTTTCTATAGGATAAGTTAAATCTCTTTAGTTTAATTGTAATAAGCATCTTGATTTGGTGGAACAATTGGCCCAGCTACCTCACAAACAATTATGTGCCCATTCTTTGTACATTGCAGCTCACTTCTTATAGATCATGTAGAGAGTACCTTTTTTATTCTTGCAGCACCTTTTAATGGACAGGAATTAGACACTAACCGATGCTATCTATGGCAGGAATAGTGCTCGACATATTTTCCCGTATGACCCTTACATTGTTATAATCTTGAATTTCCACAGAAAGTGCAAAATGAATTGCTTGCTTAGTATGCAACCCCGCTGTTGGAGAAGGAGCATTCTGGATGTTCTGCTTTGCTCGGTGATGATAAGGTTGGATTGAAAACCTTATTATTATTATTATTTATTATCTAATGAATGACTTCTTAACAGTATTGAATATTCACTGCATCCCTCTATTACTGCAGGTTGAGCATCTTTCTAGGATGTACAGGCTCTTCTCCAAAATCACCCGCGGTCTGGAGCCTATATCTAACATGTTCAAAACGGTAATAATTTCCCTTGCAGGGTGCCTCTTTTCTTTTTTAGCTCACTCATTTTATTCCTTTGAACCATGATATTCAGTTCTTATTGAGTTATATTTGTCCGCAGCATGTTACAAATGAAGGCACAACCTTGGTAAAGCAAGCAGAAGATTCTGCTAGTAATAAGAAGGTGCAGTGTTTCTTTA